TAATAAATAAATATCACGAGCAAAACAGTCCACAAATGCCACGCATTTATGGACCACCAATCTGCGTAGGCGAGCAATTCTCACAGACGTGTTTTTTTACACAATAAGAAACAAGACGAGTAATAACGACTGAAACACTGAACGTCGGTGATGTTGGTGTACCAAAACGAAATGTAGTGATGTTGTCATGTATGCGATAGATGGACCTCTCGGTCGAGTGTTGTATTTGTCGCAGGCTGTCAATTGAATATCTGAGAGTCTCGCGGAGGCATGTTTAGTGCATTTATGTCACGTAATGTGGCACGTCAGCGCCTAACGAGGCGTTTACGTTCCTGCCACGCGCGTCTCCTCCATTCACAACATCAACCGAGTGAAAATTTGACAATGGGATGGAGATGAGCAGCCGAGATTTTTTTGTGGGCCATGGGTCCATGGGATATGAAGAGGACTAACACACACCGATTTCGTGGTCGAAACGGACGCCTCGAACATTGGCGGTGACGGGAATTTTGGGAGCTTTGTAAGTGGAGACGGTCGTGTGGAACGTGATAGAGAAAGTCAAACTGAACTGAACTATTTTTTTTATTCTACCACGTAAGGCCCACTGAGCTGTAAATTTCTTTGTGAGAAGCGACATGGCCACAAATGATAGCCAAATTAATGTATAGCAGCCAAATACTCTAATCCGGTGGTTCTTAACCCTTTACTGCAGCCTTGCACCCCTTTGGTTATCAATCGTAATTTTTTATAATGTTAATAAATACATCAGGTTTGATTAAAAAAACAAAGTAGATATAACTTTCGTGCCCGTGCTTAATTTGTGTTTCGATTCTTTACTTTCTCAAAAAATCTGGCTACGTCTGGCAGCCCCAGAAAGGTCATCTCGCACCCCCAGCGAGTGCGTGCACCCCAGGTTAAGAACCGCTGCTCTAAACGCAAATGCCCGGAGAAAAATCCACGCGCCCACGGGGAAAGAGACACGCAAACTCCAAATATAGAGCAGGCGTCAGGGTCGGGCTCGAACCCACGAACCCCTGTATACCAAGTGAGGTAGTTAACATCGCGCCACCGCTGCGATGCAGGAAACGAAAGCCTTAGCTGGAAATTTGGTAGAAAATAATAAACGCGTGACTAAGGAAACGATCTCCGTGGTGTTTGGTGGACACGTGGAAAGGGGACACGTGAGTTGCCGAGTGTTGGGGGTGTGTGAGCAAGACGCGATCTCGTGTGCGTACATTTAGGGTCAGCCCCCCCCCAACTCTCCTGCCCACCTCGCCCCCACCCCCCGAATCTGCAGCCATGACTGCAGAAATCGTATCACGGTTCGACTTTAAATCAAGTCAAGGTGTATGGGCGCGTGCAGATGGGCACGTGTCATGATGTTTTTTTATTTATACAATTCAAAATAACTACTGACATTTGTCATTCACTGCAATATTACATAGATATATATAATAGGCTGACGTTTTGGGCAATAACCCTTCTTCAGAGCAGAGAACAACTGCAGAACAGGTTCGTTCACACCTAGCCAGGTGCTCCCCATCATGTGCAGCTGTAAAGACAACGACCACCCTCCTGTAGCCTGAACAGACTGTTGGGGCAAGTGCTATTAGCGAGCAGTACCTATGATGCGCGCAGCTATGAACTCGCTCACCCACGCAAAGCTGTGACTCGTTTGCTACAACACTGTGACCTGCGCTGGTACGCATCAGCTCCAATAATGCAGTAGTTCAGTCGCATTTAGAGTTTCAATCTTAATAAGTTTATGGGTGTTTTACTGTTGCATACGTTTGTTTGCTAAGTAACGTTGCACTGCGAGACGGAAAACTGCTGTCGTGTCAATTCAACCTTCGCCTCCCCCCCCCCCCTAACGATCAACGTGGTGAAGTATGGTCAAAACAACCTCCATGGCACGGGTAGGCCTTCAGCCAGCAGTGGATGAGCACGGCTGGCTACATCTGGGTGCGAAAAAAGTTCAACATACATACATAGCCAGTTTAACACGTAGGCTTTCGCAACCAATATTATACATAATAGAGCGGGTTTTTTGTGGGGGTTAGATCGCGTGAATTTCAATGTGTCGTTAATCCCGCCACCACCCGACACAGCCAATTAGTAAGGTTGTCACGTAAACAAAACGTACCAATTAGTTACTAGTTCAGCACACCCGCGTGTTGGAGAGTAAACCCACAGCATTTACAATTCGGGCACTGTGCCGTTCCGCCGGTGATTACAACCAGCATCATCAGGAGACAGCCAGAGTTGTGGAGAAATCCTCCTCGTGTTTTCGGTCTTCAATTACAAAGAGTCGTTGATGATTGTTTCCATTTGTATAGCGTCTCGGTACGGGCATGGCCTCAAGAGGTCGTACAGAGCCACGTGTCGCTTCGCTCGGTGGCCAATCACCGTGGATGTGTGTGTGTGTGTGTGATGTTGTGTGTTGACCTTGCCCGCTATCTTATCTGAAGGTGGTGGGATCAATACATCAATTACGGTATCGATCGTTTCGTGTTAGCGAGGGTTTATTGATTCCCGCACCTCTCCCCCAGCCCCTCCCCCATCCCCCCCTCCCTCCCCTGAAATTCGGTCAATTGTCGCGAACTAAGTTCGTGCGATTCGATGCAATAACACGCAGCACCGTAAATAAATATATACACAACAGAAAATCGGCGATGTGGTGAAAATAGCGGCATGTAAGGGCCTGCACGGGCCACGCGTACCTCTCTGCTGTAATGGAAATGCGTACGAAGCGAACCATATCGATTATTATTATACACCCCACGATGACGTGGATGTCAAGAGTCCTAAATAATCGATACATCGTTAGACCCCCCCTGCCCCCCCCCCCAGCGTTTGACGCTTTCCTATTCTGAGGAATCTTCCAACTCCCGTCGGCTCCACAGCACTCTGCATGGTGCATGAACTGACTGTGTCGTGACACTTGTGATGCACAACAACAATAGTCGTACACCAGGACCTATCCACTGGTGCATGTTGGCCTGGTCAACTGGCTCCTCGTGTGCAGCAAGTGATGGTGTTACACAAGGCCGAAGGAAGCTCATCTCCCGCGTGATTTCGCGAGCCCGGAGGAAGGGGCATGGACCTCTCGCATCTTAGACGTTACGAATTAAAAAGAAAATGCCAAGACCTCTTTGCTGACAAATTTTTTTTTTAGATTTGAAGCTTTCGTGACTGCAAGGATTCATACTCTTGGGTTTTTTCGGTAAAGTCACGTAGGTAAAAAATGTATTTTATTTTACTTTTTATTAATTTAAACATTTTTACCTACGTGACTTTACCGAAAAAACCTAAGAGTAAAAAAAAAAATGTCATCTTAAGCCTTTAAATAAATATATTCCCACCGCCTAAACCGTGTCTGATTTCACACGTTTTTGGGTGGGGTGCCTCAGATCGGCCTGAGAAGCGACGTTTTCTTTTCCGGCGCATGGCGAAAAAGCCAGGAGTCGTTTTTATTATTTTTAGTTTTTAAGAGCCTCACCATTGCTGACGAGACCCGAAAAAAAGTAGAAAACCTCTGCTTAAAACAACAACAATTTGGGGGTCATTATTTCGATGGACGGATATAAAATGCGATTTTACGTTAAAATATGGACGTATTGTCTTGCCTGTGTCCTGTCCCACGCGAGTTTAAAAGCTTCGCTCGAGCGACCAAAATTTTTTCGTTTTAAATCCGTCAGGTGGGCTCCAGTGACGTCACAGGACTAAAGTGCCACCGCACTGACGTCACGGCGGCGCGAAATGAATGTGAATTTGAAGTTTCATTTGACTCGCAAGACTTCGAACTTGGTGGGGGGGGGGGGGGTGAACGTCTTCGTGTTTCGCTCTGCCACAAGAGCGCCGTGTGTGTTGCGTATGCATGTGTGTGTGTCAGTGTGTGTGTGTCTGTGTGTGTCAGTGCGTGCGTCTCTGTGTCTGTGTGTGTCTGTGTGTGTCAGTACGTGCGTCTCTGTGTTTGTGTGTTACTGTGTTTGTGTCTTACTGTGTGTATTTGTGTGTGTCTGCGTGTGTGCCTGTGTGTGCGTGCGTCTGTGTGTTTGTGTGTTACTGTGTTTGTGTGTTACTGTGTGTATTTGTGTGTGTCTGCGTGTGTGTCTGTGTGTGCGTGCGTCTGTGTGTTTGTGTGTGTGACTGTGTTTATGTGTCTTGTGTGTTTGTGTGTGTGACTGTGTTTGTGTGTGTGACTGTGTTTGTGTATGTGTTTGTGTGTCTGTGTGTTTGTGTGTTACTGTGTGTGTGTCTGTGTGACTGTGTGTGTGTCTGTGTGTGTGTCTGTGTGTGTCAGTGCGTGCGTCTGTGTGTTTGTGTGTTACTGTGTTTGTGTGTGTGACTGTGTTAGTGTGTCTTGTGTGTTTGTGTGTTACTGTGTTTGTGTGTGTCTGTGTGTGTCAGTGCGTGCGTCTGTATGTCTGTGTTACTGTGTTTGTGTGCGTCTGTGTGTGTCAGTGCGTGCGTTTGTATGTTTGTGTTACTGTGTTTGTGTGTGTATTTGCGTGTGTCTGTATCTCTGTGTGTGTATGTGTGTGTTTTTTGGTGCTATCTCGTGTTGATAATTTGCCATTCCTTGGCCACTCCACTGCTGGCTCAAGAGGATCCGCACGCCACGCTTCGACTGAGAGCCTTCTTCTTCCATCACGAGCGTGACCTACTGCTCATTGTCAACTTCAATCTTCGCCAACGCACTCTTGCAAGCCGCTTTCGTCCACCGCCTTCTATAATAATTATCATGATCACCCACGTCCGCCTTTCATAACGGCCTGGCGTGGCTATACATACACTCTTATGTGCAGATGAGATGTAAAGCGTATGCAAATGTTATGCAAATGTTGCATTTAGCTTAAATGAACTCAAGGGACTGAACGAGCGACACCAAGAACACGAGGCAGCCAACAGAAACGAGACGACAGAATCAGGATATGTATTTATACCGGAGGAGGAATCCGATGAGTTATAAAGCTCTTTTACACAGATGTCCAGTCGGGAGGTTAGAACGATACAACAACAACACAATTGCAAAAAAACACGATCGGAGTGCAAATTATAGACAGGGTAAAAACACATCACATTGAAAATATATACAAATAAAACTAAACTATTCATTGTATCTTACCAGGTAATGCCCACTGGCCCATTTGCTTCTTTTTTTTAGAAGCGACCTGGCCACAAATGATAGCTCAACGAAGTGGCCCAACATCACGTGGAAATCCACAGCAGCAAATTAATCGAAATAATCTAGACGCAAAAAAACATCGATTATTGACTTGAAACGTGACCATGAATCATGACGAATAATCTAATCATGTGGGGAGGAGGGGGAGGAGGGTGTGAATCGCTTCATGTCTCGATCAGTTTGCCTTGTTGCTGGGGGGCGAGGGGTGATGTAACTCGGGGGTGAGAGGCGTGTTCGTGGTTTTGGTAATGCTCTCCCCGCAATCCACGTGCAACTTAATGAACTACAATTCTCACTTTCGTGGTGCTGCTCGCTTATCACCGAACGCGCAACGACCTTGTTCGTGTCTGTGAGGCTCAGAAATGTTTGAGCCTGACCGCGTGTGTTGGTGGAACGGGCCGACCGCGTGGCTGTGCTTGGTGGGTGATCATCAGAGGGAAGAGCAGCAGCATCTGTTGTTGTACTGTGTTCATGTGTTACCACGTTTATGCTCAACGTTTTAACCAACCCGCATTGACCGGCGTGGTGAAGTAGACTAAACTATAAACTTTTATATTATTTTACCAGGAAAGGCCCACTTAGCCATATAGCTCTCTTTTTCAGAATCGATTTGGCCACAAATGATAGCCACAACGAAGTGGCTTACCACGTGGAAATGTAAAACAGCCAAATACTCTGAAAGCGTGATGTTGATTCTAAATGTGGAGGGAAAAACCGGAGAACCCGAAGAAAAATCCACGAGACCACGGGGAGAGAGACACGCAAACTACAAATATACAGCAGGCGTCAGGCTTGGGATCGAACCTGTAACCTCCTGTATACCAGGCAAGGTAGTTAACATCTCGACAAAGTAAGTATCCAGTGGTAAATTGAGAAAATTTCTGCACATGTGCGTGATGGAGTCGAGTCGGTTTTAATGCGAGACAATACGGTCAATTTCATCACATTTTACAAAGTAATTTATACAGTTCTTGTATAGCACAATTACATTCTAGCAATTTTTGTATAAGTTACTACGGTACTTATATAATACAGCCAAAACTGAGCGTCTCCCTGTCACTGACGGTCCCTGAGACATTATTGGACACTCCCCATTTCTATGCCAGGGGCTGGTTCATCCAAAAGATAACCATTCCCGATGTCCCACTAAGTTAGTCTCATTTATCCACCTCGTGGGGATGACGATAATTCGACTCGCGACCTGGATTTGAACTCGCGAGATTCACGTTGTACCACACTACCATTTTAATGGAAAATGCATCCCACTTGGGTTGAATTTTATCTGAAATCATTTTTTGTCTAATGGCTTAGTCGCAAAAAAATGTCATCAAAGTGATTAAACTAAAGTCCTTAAACAGTAGAACCCCCTCTTAACGACCACCCCTGCTGCTAACGACTAATCGCTGTTGTAGGTACAGTAATATTAATGAATGCATTGATTAACCATGTTTTATTTTAAATATGTGTTCATATTGTTGTTAGTACCTTCATGTATGCATGTCCATTGTTTACATATTATAATAAAGCACGTTTTTGGGGTGAAAAGTGTAACTTTCGATGCTATCGCAACGAATGAACCCTTTAACCGTGTATTCCCTATACTTGCTTAACGACCAAATCGCTTACCGTAATGACCGGTTTCTTGGAACAAATTACCGTCGTTAAGAAGAGGGCTTCTACCGTAACTAACTTTTAGTGGCTTCATTTGCTGCCCGCAGCGGCGGTGGGACAGTGGTGAAAAATCCACATTTTCAGCAGCGCGGGAATCAGCCTATCCATGGTGTCAGTCCATTCCACAGGGTCACCCGCTTGGCCACCGTGGGTCAGATCCCCGTGTACGCGGTTGGAGGGATGAACGCCGCGCGTGCGGGCAAGGATGCCTGGGAATTCGCACGGGGTGGGGTGGTCATAAAGGGCCCTCTCTCGGCGCGTCGGCACCCTCCGGGGAGCGGGGATCCTCGGGGGTCCAGACCCGGGCCGTGCGGACCACGTGTCGCTCTCGGCGCTGCCTCTCGTCCGTCCAGGAGAGGGAATGTCCGGCCAGCGGGGTGAGACCCGGCGACAAACCTGGGGGAGAGAGAGCCGCGGACGGTGACCCTGCGTGCGTGCGCCAAGTGGAAACGAAGAGACGATCAAGAGACAGAGAGCGGGGGTTGAGCGAGAGGCAGAGACGAGGAGAAAGAGGGGGAGGGATGGAAGGAGCGACAGTGTACTGGACATCTGTGGAAAAGAGTTTATAGGTTATCGGATTCCTCCAGTATGAATATATATTCTGATGCTGTGTGGAGATGAAGGGGGGGCAGAGTGATGAAGCGAAACAAAGGTTTATGTACGTGTATTTGTCAAGGTCTTGAAGGTATTACTTCTTAATCAAGTTACGTTTATTTTTCTAGCCATGCGATCGTTGATCCCCCCATAATATATCAACAAACGCACAAAATAAATATAGAGAGCAAACACTATCTAAATAAATATCACAGAGTAGTCTAATATTCAGAACAAACTTCAAACGCACAACTTATAAAGAGGCAGAGTGGCAGAACAGATACAGGTTCCCCGCAAAACCACCATATAGACTAAATTTCGATTTAAAGCTTTCGTGACTGCAGGGATTCATCTTCTTGGTTCTTTCGGTAAAGTCACGTAGAATGGAAATAATAAAATAATAAAAATAAAACATAATAAAATAATTCTCACGACGTTTCGGAGGCAACACAAGCTTCCGTCTTCAGGTGGAACCGTCACAGCACGATAGCTGTATTTTATTTATTTATTATTTTATTATTTCCATTCTACGTGACTTTACCGAAAGAACCAAGAAGACACCATACAGACTGTTCGGGCAAGTGTTGTTCGTGAGCACCGCACCTGTTGCGGCCAACACGGAGCATGGAGAGTCGGTGCGGCCAGAACATCGCCCTGCCTGCCAATGTATCCCGTGTTCATAGCTCAACAACGCGCCAGGTCCTCGTTCCCGGCTAAATTGACAGAGGGGATTGCGACCCAGGGCTGTTTCAGATGACCCGCCGCTGATAGCCTCGGCAGGGAGTCTAACGCTGGGTCACCCGCTCCTCACAGACTCAGAGAGACAGATACATCCACGCAGCCTACGACCAAATCATTGCGAAACTAAGCAGGCTTGAGACTGGTTGGTACTTGGATGCTAGACTGTCTGGGAATAACAGGTACTGTAGGATTGGGCTGCAGCGAGTGATCAGTAGGGAGGAGTACACCGATATGCCATTGAATCTATCTGTGCGGACCTTTTTGAGTGATATCTCCTGACATGCGTGATGGGTTTTCTCCAGGTACTCCAGTTTCCACCCAAACGATAATGGATTGACCAAACATGGCCATGTAACAGGACCATGGCTTACTGTCATCCGAGTCTCTCCGACACAACGAGTCGGACAATATTTCCGTCACCGGCACACCACATACAGTTTAACACGTAGAGGGCTTTCGCGACCAATATCATCCATAATACAGTTTTTTTATGGGTTAGATCGCGTAAATATAAATGCGTCGTTAAACCCGCAACCACCCGACACAGCCAATTAGTAAGTTTTGTCGCGTAAAACAAAACGTGCAAATTCGTTACGAGTACAGCACACCGGTGTGTTGGAGAGCAAATCCACATTTACAATCCGAGTACAACGAAATCTGGCTGTGGCCTGATGAAGCAAGTTGTAATTACTGGCGAAACGTCGTACTCAGCTTGTAAATGTTGCAGATTCGCTCTCCAACACACCGGTGTGCTGTACTAGTGACGAATTTGCATGCTTTTTGACGTGACAACCCTTACTAGTTGGCTGCGTCGGGTGGTGGCGGGTTTAACGACACATTTATATTTACGCGATCTAACCCCAAAAAACTGTATAATGAACACCACATACAGTAGAGTAGATATATTCGCAACGGTCTGGGCTACTCGGCACGTACCCAATCTGGTCTCACAGCGACACGGAAAATACGCAGTCAAGAATTATAGCCCTGAGCAGGTCTCTCCTAAAAAGTAGCCTTGAGACTCGTCAATAAAAAGGGACACAGCGAGCCACACGAGAGATGACACGGGCCGAAACACGCGTGCCGCGAAGAGGAGGAAGAGGAGGAGGAGGAAGATGAGGAAGACAGACGAGGAGCAGTCAAGTTCACTCACCGGACGCGCGATGGAAAATGATGATCTTCTTTTGCTGGGACAGCAGCGGTTGTCCCGCTTGTGCGCGGAGGGGCCTCTCCGAGTGGACCAGCTCGCCCAGGAAGGAGATGTAGCCGATGGCGAGGCGCAGAGTGTCCACTTTGGATAACCGCTTCTCGTACGGCAGCGTGGGGATATGCGCGCGGAGGCCCTCGAAGGCCGCGTTGATTGACTGCATGCGCCTCCTCTCTCGCTGGTTGGCCGCCTGCCGCAGGTGCGACATGTCGCCGTGAACGCGCGATCTGCGCCTTCTGCCCGATGACCTCCGATGCGCCGGAGGAGCGGACCCATCACCGCCGCCGCCGCCGTCGCCGCCGCCAGGTGTCCCCACGCCACCTTCGAAGCCTCCCCCCGCGAGCAAAAGGGACCCGGGATCTCCACGCTGCTGCTGTCCATGTGAGTGGTGGTGCTGGCGGTCCTCCTCCTCCTCGTCCTCCTCGTCGTCGTCGTCGGGGTAGTAGTCGCTGAGGGAGTGCGCGAGGTAGTCTACGCTGTCGCACATGATGAGGTCCACTTGGTCGCGCGGCGACGAGGAGCCGCCGCCGCCGCCCTCGTCGCTGAAGAAGTCGTCGTCGTCGTCGATGAGGTAGGAGGAGGAGAAGCGCTCCATGTCCACAAATTGCTCCAGCACGGCGTCCATGCTGCGTGCGCGCGTGCGTCTCGACGTGTGCACGCGTGGGTCGGTACACGAGTGTGTGTGCACACGTGTGCGTGTCGGTGAGTGCACGTGTGGATGTGTGTGCACACGTGTGCGTGTGGGTGAGTGCACGTGTGGATGTGTGTGCACACGTGTGCGTGTGGGTGAGTGCACGTGTGGATGTGTGTGCACACGTGTGCGTGTGGGTGAGTGCACGTGTGGATGTGTGTGCACACGTGTGCGTGTGGGTGAGTGCACGTGTGGATGTGTGTGCACACGTGTGTGTACACCTGCGAGTGTGAGCACACGTGTGGGTGTGAGCACACGTGTGAGCGTGCTCGTGTATGTGTCTGCACACGTGCACACGAGCGGTCGTGCGTGTCTGCGCGTTGTGTTCGCTGCGTGCCTCTGTGTACACACGTGTATCTTGCCGTGCGCGTGCTGCACTCCGTACGTGTACGTACTCGACTATGTGCGCTTGCGTCTATATGCACGTGTGTCTATACCAGTGTACATACACACACACTGTGTGTGTGCGCGCGCGAGTATATGTGCACCTGTGTATGTACCGCTGCGTGGGTATGCACGTGTTTGATAAATATGCGTGTCCTTTAGTACGGCGTGCAGGTGGAGTGGGTTACTGCTGTTGCTACTGCGTCAGGTTTGTGAGCAAAGCCAACAGGCGAACTTAGCGCTCACGTCTCGATGTGTAACGCACGGTTGTAGACGTCGCCTACAAGTGTAATGGTACAGGTGTGAGAATAATGTTGACCGGGTGTAGGAGGTGCGGGGTGTAGGAGGTAGGAGTGGTTCTGTTGGAGGGTGGCCCGTTTCTGAGGGCACGGCGATGCGGGGTCTCGGTAGTAGAGAGTGGTTCGGATCCGGATGGGACGTGGTCCCCCGGTGCAGCACCGGTGCAGGTGCGGTTTGAAGCCCCGGGCTTCTGCGCGTGGCCTCTTTATCGGTCCCCGGGTCCCGGGTCGCGCGCGCGCGCGCACGTGCGATTCACGAGTCGCGAGCCAATGAGAGCGCGCGAGCGCAGCGGGGGTTCCTGCTCCCACCTCTTCCCCACCTGCTTCCCCTCCCTGCCCCCTCCCCTCTGTCCCCCCTCCCACCTCTCCGACCCCCCCCCCACTACCACCCTCATCACCCTCCCACCACAGCTCCTTCTCTCCCCTCCCCTATATCCACGTCCCACCTCTTCCCCCACCCACCCCCCGACTCCTTATCCTCAATCCCCCACCCGTCGTCCGTGTCTCACCACCTGCCGTCTCAGCCGCAACTTTCCGCCGATTTTGCGCGATGTTTGTGTCGGCGGAAATCGACGGGGGACTGCTCGAACTAGAACTCGCGAATCGTCCAGTCCGGGTCCGATTCAACCGTTTGATTGAAATCGCATTAATAGTTTGTGATGCTTGTGGTGATGATGATGATGTTCAAATGGGCGCCACGGTGGCGAGATGTTAACTACCTCGCCTCGTATACAGGAGGTCGTGGGTTCGATCCAGACACTGACGCCTGCTGTATATTTGGAGTTTTCACGAGCTCGTCGTCGTGTGGATTTTTCTCCCATTATTCTCGCCACATTTAGATCATTTTACGTGCGCTTTGATTATTTGGCTGAAATCAATTTCCGCACGACGAGCCACTTCGTTGTGCTATCATCTGTGGCCAGGTCGCTTCTAAAAATAACTATACAGCTCGGTGCGGGGCCCTCTCCGGTAAAATAACAACAAAAAGTTATAAAAAAAAATAGTCCAATCTCCTCTGCTGCCTGCCATAGTCATTCACTCCCCGCTCGCAGCCCCCGTGCTGTTGGCTCCCTGTCCGTGCTCAAGTCCAGAGTTAATCTCCACGAATGGATTGCGATGGTGAATTAAGCCGCCTCTATTTAAATCGAGGGTGATTTTAAACGACACTGATCTTATCAAGGATATATAGCGCTTCGTCAAAGCGCTTTACAATAATTATAACATTTTCATTAGTTATTGACTGATGGGGAAAAGTGATGGGGTTTGAGTGTTGGGAAGGGGTGGCAAGGAAGGGTGGTGATAGGGGGAGGTTAGGAAGGGGACGGGGGGAGGATGGTGAAGGTTTTAAAGATGCGGACTGGAAAATTTATAGGGATATTCTTTTGAAAAAAGATGAGTCTTAAGGCTCAACTTTGCGAATGTGATCCCAACATCGCCCGCGCGCATGAGGCTTCGTGATGAATTAAGCGTTTGAGGTAAGAAGCCACCAACCACTACAGCGCGCGTGGGTCTGTTGGTGGGACAAGATCTTCATAACACGTACTTTATGTAACTCTATGGGTCTCTTTGTGTGTATGCGTCTACAGTATATGTCAGTATAACCCCGTGAGTCTGTATATATTTCGGTGTTAAAACGGAGCATATAAACCGGTAACCGTTTCCTCATTCAATTACCGGTTCCAGTAACCGATAACCGTTTCCAGTGGCATGTTGGACATTCATGGGACGATCGCGCGCATTTCTCAAAAGGTCAAAGGTCGCGACAGGACCCTTGCCTCATCAGGAAACAGCTGGCCAAGGTGGTCCACGAAAAGGAGCCCATGAGGCCATTTTTGGCCTACTCTTCGATGCTGACCAGACGACTTGGAAGAAAGTCACGTAGAAGGGAAACAATACAATAATACCAATATAAAACAATAAAATTTTCACACCTGATGAGGATTGCTTGTGTTGCAGTCGAAACGTCGTGAGAATTTTTATTGTTTTATATTTGTATTATTTTATTATTTCCCTTCTACGTGACTTTACCGAAAGAACCAAGAATATAAATTATTATCTGTTTTACCAGTTAACGCCCAATGAGCCATGTAGCTCTTTTTCAGAAGCGACCTGGGCCACGAATGATAGCTCAACGAAGTGGCTCATCACGTGGAAATGTAGAGCAGCCAAATATTCTAAACGCTTGATGTTGATTCTAAATGTGGATGGAAAAACCCTGGAGGACTCGGAGAAAAATCCACGCGACCACTTCATACACAGCAGGCGTCAGGGTCGGGATCGACCCCATGCCTCCTGTATACCAGGCGAGGTAGTTAACATCTCGCCACCGTGGAAGAGGTGGGCGTATCCAGACTTAGCCCAGCATCACGTAAGTCTGTGGGTCTCAATGTAAGTCAATGTACGGGGTGTCTTGTGCGAGTCTGTATACATCTTGCGTGTGTTTCGTGCGCAAATTTCTTTGCACAGCCGCAGATCTCCTTATGTAACGGAGGCTACGTTTAGTGGCCTGGCTCAGAAGCTTGTTGTACACACACACACCCTGTACCGTAGAGTTATAGACTGCGTCTACCGATCAATGTGAATGTTCGAAGTTCACATCCCAGTCTCGGGTCGATTCAGTTCATCATCTGCCAGGGGTCGATGCAACGTTTACCGCGTTGTGGAAAAGCTAACAATGGTTGTTCTATGGATACACTAGTCCCCGCCATGGGAATATGGAATGGCTGAGGGTCGTCAGTGAAGATGACCCAGACCTCGCTCGCTGCGAGTGTGCGCAGTGGTGTGACCGTAAAGCCCTTGGCTAGGCCTGACGGATGTCATCTAAATCTACTTGGCCCACTGGCCCCTGTGGATATGCCATGCGTGTGCGTGAGAGAACAACCCCAACATGCTGAAGCGAAACGCTTCGGGGAGCTTTGACCGAAACCCAAGCAACGTGGGTGATGAGATGGCACCAAAGAAGAGGAGAGAGAAAGGTGACATACCGAGGAGGAATGCAACGAATGAAACGATTAGAAACTATATATATTTTTTTAATTTTAACAAGGTCCACTGAGCTATGTAGCTCTTTTTAAATCCTTTATATTAAGTTCACTTGCTTGCGTGCTTGCTTGCTTGCTTACGACCGTGCAAATCTTTCGGTCGTTTTTTAACCCACTTCCCGTGATCCAATCGAGCTGGCATTTTGCACACAGACTCGTTGTGCGTGACAATTTATTTTAGTGAAATTTTTTTTCCATAACTTTACACTTTTTAGGAAAAAAAAATTATATTTAATTACCAATTACTTAATGGTGGCAGGCAATCATCTGACCCATAGGTGGCAGCCATCTCAAGCCAGAGGACGAGAGGACTCTAGCCGCCACACATATAAAGGATTTATAGTGAAAAACTTTGTTTTTACGGGTTAATTTTTCAGAATCGACATGGCCACAAATGATAGCTTAACGAAGTGGCTCATCGTGTGGAAATGTCTATCAGCCAAATAATATAAGCGCATGATTCTAAATGTGGAGAAAAAAAACAGAGGACCCGGGGAAAAATCCACGCGACCACAGGGATAGACATGTAAACTCCAAATATACATTTCGATTTAAAGCTTTCGTGACTGCAGGGATTCATCTTCTTGGTTCTTTCGGTAAAGTCACGTAGAAGGGAAATAATAAAATAATAAAAATAAAACATAAAATAACTCTGACGACGTTTCGGCCACAACGCAAGCAGCCGTCCTCAGGTGAAGAACAGGTCTGTCGGGAAGACAGCGTCTGAGGACGGCTGCTTGCGTTGTGGCCGATACGTCGTGAGAATAATTTTATTATGTTTTATTTTTTATTATTTTATTATTTCCAAATATACAGCAGCAGGCGTCCGGGTCGATATCTCAACCCACGACCTCCTGTTATACCAGGAGAGGTAGTTAACCACGTCGCCACCGTTGGCGCCCACACCTCGCACTGCGTCAAGAGGCCCACGAGGTGGCGATGCTGCTCTACCCAAAAGGGAACCCACGGCGTCAATATCGCTGCGTCTGTTCGGTGGCCAACGCGGCTTCTGCACAAACCAAGCGGTTTCCTCGGTTCTTTCGGTAAAGTCACGTAGGTATAAAATAAATTAAACCACGACGTTTCTTGCTGTGGTTGTCCCACCTGATGACGGACGCTTGTGTTGCGCCCGAAACGTCGTGATTTAATTTATTTTATACCTACGTGACTTTACCGAAAGAACCAAAGAGTATGGATCCCTGCAGTCACGAAAACTTCAAATCTAGATTGGGTTTCCTCGGGTTACGCCCAGAGCCCGTCCCGAGGGTTACACGGCGAATGAGGGCGACCGCCCGGGCCCCGCGCTTTGGGGGGCGGGGGTAGCTGTGCTTCATCGTCACGGTTTCAGATGTATATACTTACGGTATAGTTTTAAAGGCGTCGGGGGCCCCACACAATGTGGCGCGGTGTTATATCAATCGCCTGGTATGCAGGTGGCCGCGGGTTCGATCCTGACGCCTGTTTTTTATTAGAAGTTTGCGCGTCTCTCTCCTTGTGATCGCGTGGATTTTTCTCAGTGTTCTCCAGGGTTTTCCCTTCCACATTTAGAAGCACGCGTTAAGAGTATATGGCTAATAATTCACTTAATTTGGCTATAATTTGTGGCCAGTTAGCTTCTGAAATAGAGCTATATCGTTTAGTAGACCTTACCTGGTAAAATAAAAACGGTTTAAGTTTTTAAAATAGTTTAGTGTGATCTGCCCCGTGCCCCGCACCCCGCACCCCCGTATGGACTGCCCTGGTCACGCCGACCACCGATGCTAGCGGGACTCTACATTGCTGCTGGACATATCCCCGACACGCCCTATGCCACTACGCTGCCCACCTGGCACACAACGTTTGCTAAAGTTGACAGGTTTATTTGCGACCTTGAAAATGACCTCGGCAGGACAAGCGACCTCCCTCGTACCCATCTGTCTCTCTCCCTCTCTCTCTCTCTCTTGGGGACTTTGCTGCGGCGTTAGCTCACTCGGCTTCCACCGTGCGCCCTGCCTCTATTGTTCGCCGAGAAGAG